AGGTATTCCAAACCAAGGGATGATTTCCCTTAGCCAACATCTGACCACCTCCTGGGCCTTTAGAGTCCATGTAGAGAAGGCTTCCACCCATCCTGAGAAGGTATAAACACCAGCAGATATTTGCATCCTAAAGCTTGTGGCATTTCAGTAAAGTCCATGATCAAGTTTTCAAGAGGAGTTCCACCAACCTTCTGCACCTGGGGAGGTGACCTTGGCCCTTGCCTGGGGTTTTTTTTGGCACATAGGTGACACCTCTCACATACTGCCTTACTGGAAAGTTTGGAGACATAAAAATGCTGGGTCAGGGTGGTCTCAAGGGCTATTTGCCCTGAATAAGTTCCTTCGTGAACTGCTTGACAAATGCAGGAGCCAGTGACTTAGGTATGGCAATGAGGTCATTAGCAAACTTCCACCATCTGTTCGGGAGAAAATTTCCCTCGTCAGTCTTAAACCAAGCCTGTTCTTGTGGTGTGTACCATGGGTCCCATTCAGCTAAGGGGAATGGAAACGAGGCAGCTGTCAGGACAGTTGGGGATGGTCCCCTTATGAGGGCCACCTGTTTGGCCTCCCTGCCAACTTTCCAGTTTCCCCCAACAATTGTATCTCCCTTTTGGTGCCCTCTGAAGGTTATAACTGCCACCCATTTAGGGGCCCATAGAGTGTCTAGCAGTTCAAGGATTTTCTGCCCATACTTGATACTTTTTCTTCCCGAGTTAACAAGTCCCCTCCCTTTATATAAGGCCCGATGGATATGAATGGTTGTGAAGGCGTATTTGGAGTCAGTGTAGAGATTTACTCGTACTCCTGCAGCAAGCTGCCCTGTGAGGGCAACGCATTTAGCCTTTAGTGCAGAAGTTCCAACCAGCAGCGGGCAAGCCTCAATGACTGAGTCCAGAGTCACCAGTGCATACCTGGCAAAGTGTGTGCCATCCCAGACAAATCTGATGCCAACTGTGAAATATCCAATGTCCAGATGGCTGATACGCTGAACAGTTAGATATGGCCAGCTCAAGAAAACCTCATCCATAACCTCTAAGCATTCATGTTCCAGGGGGCCCGAATCAACCAGCAACAGGGTGGCCAGGTTTAGAGTCTTAACAACCTCCAGCTGGATGCATGGGTTTTCACATGGCACACTCTGGTATTTGAGTCAGCCAATAATTTCCCCTATACTCCATGAGAGTCAGGATGGAGTGGGGAACCCAGACAGTGAGTTCTTGACCTAGGGTGAGCTTGCCTGCTTCTGCCACCAGGGCAGCAGTGGCTGCCAGCCCCAAGAAATGGCATAAAGTTGTTTTGACAAGTAAGTCACCAGATGCTGTCAGCAGCCTAGTAGCTGATTCAGGACCCCAATAGCTGTCTCCTTTCACTCATGGACAGGAAAAATGGCTTCATCACACCTGGCAGGCCTAGAGCTGGGTCATATGTGAGTGCCCTCTTGATTTCTTTAAAGGCTTTTTCTTGTTCTTCATCCCACACTAACGGTTCTCATTCTCCCCACTTTGTGGCTTTATAGAGGGGTTTTGCCAAGAGGGAGTAATTAGGGATCCACATTTGGCAGAAACCTGCAGCTCCCAAAAACTCTCTGATTTCCCAGTGGGTCTTGGGGGCTGGAATGGAATAGAAATCCTACTTCCTCTCAGGGCTGAGCCTGCATTGCCCCTGGGACGGTGAAAGATGAAGTATTTGATGGTGTTTTGGCAAATCTGGGCCTTTTTCTTAGAGACTTTGTATCCTGCCTCCCATATAATAGTAAAAATGTGGTGAGTTCTTTCCCTACAGTCCTCCCAACTTGGCCCAGCTAGCAGAATGTCTTCTAAGTTCTGGAGGAATGTACATGGCTGGACATCTGAGAAAGCTTTGAGGTCAGATGCCAGAACAGTTCTGAAAATAGTGGGAGAATTTTTGAAACCTTGTGGCAATCAAACCCAAGTTAGTTGCCCCTTTTCCTCAGTATTGGGATTTTCCCATTGGAAGGCAAAAATAGGCTGGCTCTGTGGGGCTAGACAGAGGCAGAAAAATGTGTCCTTAAGATCTAGGCAGGTAAAAAAAACTTTGCTTCAGCTGGGACAAGACCTAAAACCATGTAGGTATTTGGGACTATGGGTGAAAAGTAAAGTTGCTGAACTTACTGCCTGGATATCCTAAACTGGCCTGAAATCCTTGGTCCCCAGTTCCTGGACTGGTAATAAGGGAGTGTTCCAGGATGACTGGCAACATCAGAGGGTCCCACATTTTAGCAGTCTGTCAAAGAATCTAATTCTGACCTGGGCCTTGCAGGGAATGAGTTCCACCATAACTGGAGGCACATTTTGGGCCAGACCTGGGGGTTATCTTCAGCCCAAACACCTGGAATCTTGAAGAGAAGCTCAGAAATGTCAGGAGGTCTTCCCTCAGGGGCATGGAGCCGCCATTCCTCCTCTTGTGCAAACATGAGGGTTAGAGTCTTTGCCTCAGGTCCTTCACCTTTAAGGCTGCTGTACCCTCCAAATCAAAAGTTATCTGTGCCTCAGTTTGTATAATAAGTCCCTGCTCATCAGGCAATTGGGGAGATAAAGGAATTTATGCCTTACTTCGTGACTGCCAATATTGCATCATCTAGCCACTAAAGAAGGGCGGCAGGCCAGGCCCCCTGAATCCCTGTTAATAGTTGTATGCTTTTGGGAAAGGGGCCCACTGCTTGTGTCACAACTGAGTGTTCTACACCCATGTTCACCATGAGATCAATGGGATGGCCCCCTGTTTTCATTTGGACTATGGGCTCCTGGGGGCCCAATAGTATGGAGCTGCAAGGCTGCCAGTCCAACAGTGTTTTCCTCCCAGGGGCTGGCTCCCCTGTGGGTGGACTGATATTTTCCATCAATACCTGGCCTCTGCCTCTGGTCTGGGGGACCTTCTGGGAGTCCCTGGCCAGTTGAGGACATTCATTCTTCCAGTGCCCTTCCTGATAACAGTAGGCCTAATTCTGCCCTAGGGCAGGGGCATCCCAAGGGCATTGGTTGCTATCTGTGGTGATTGCCTCTGTTTCTGCCTTAATTAGCTCTCTGTGACCGCCTGACTGTCCAGCAAGGGCTGCTGCAAGGAGGTCCACTTTCCTGTTCACCTTCCTGTCAGCCTCCCGTTTAGCCTCCTGACTCTGATCGACAAAAGCCTTTGTGGCCACCTCCAGAAGCTGACTGGTGTTCATTCCAGTTTCTGTAACTTTTGCCTTATGTCCCCTAGGCCTTGCCAACAAAAGCGGTGTTAATCACTTGTTGGTTTTCAGTGGCTTCTGGTCAAAGGGGGTGTACAAACAGAAGGCCTCACACAAACGCTCATAAAACTAGCTAAGACTCTCTTCCAGCCCTTGGAGGACCTCTGATTTTTGCTCATGTTCATGGCCTTTTTCCCCCTTCCTTCATGCCCCCCAGTATTGCCTCTGATACCATTCAAGCCACAGGTAGTCTCAGTCACTGTTGGGGTCCCAATGGGGGGTCTCCCTTGGGGAAATTAGCTTAAGCATATGCTTGGGCATTTAGAGTTCCCTCAGGGTCATGATCTTCTAACACTTTAGAGCTGCCAGTGTTATTTGGCATCACTCTTCGGTATTAAATAGAGTCAGAAGATGCTATCAACAGTCCATCTAGGTGGGTTTATAGTCTGGATGAAAGACAGCATCAAATCAATCAGATCCTAATGCTTCTCTGTGAAGGGGGGTATGATGTTTTCAGTTCAGGAGATCTGCGGTGCAGGTCTCCATTAAATCCCTTTTTAAAGTTTTAAACCATACACTCCAAGGGAGTGTCTTTACTCTGATTTCCACACATTTCCTCTCATTACCAGATGTCAAGACAGACATAGAGAGGTAGGGGTTTTGGAGGAGAGGTAAAGGTAGGGATGTCCTCTTCTCCAACACACAAGGGAGAACGAGCAATATTCACCCCTTATAGGTGACCTGGACCCGGCAAGGAACTGCACCTACACAGGGTCCTCACTTTTTTTTTTTTTTCTGTTGGGGTTATTTATTTGGAAAAAATAGTCATATTTTCATAAAACAGCTTGTCATTCAACTAGAATGTATAAATCATAAACACCCAAAATTTAACATTTGACAATTCAAGAAAAGGAAATACAAAATGTCTTAAAAACACATACCCAACCTTTTTCTTTTGGTGGGACTGGGGTTTGAACTCAGGGCTTTGCGCTCGCAAAGTAGGTGCTCTATCACTTGAGCCACACCTCCAGTCCATTTTGCTGTGATTATTTTGGAGATGAGGTCTCAGAAATTATGTGCCTGGGCTGGTCTTGAACTATGATCCTCTTGATCTTAGCCTCCCAAGTAGCTAGGATTCCAGGCATGCGCAACTGGCACCCAGTTTTTTGGTTTTTTTTTAAACTTCAAGAGGGACCTAATTATTCCATGGTATTGGGGTTTGAATCCAGGGTCTTGTACTTGCCCGGCAGGAGCACTTGAGTTACATCCCCAGACCTCCAACTTTATCCTTAAATGAAAATTCTGAGATTAACATACTATTTTCAACCGACAGATGGGCAAAGATCAAAACTTATTTGATAGTACAGTTTATAAAGATGTAAGGAAATAGGGATTCTTGCACATTGTTGGTGAAACTATATCTGTCAAAAAATAAAAATGTACAGCCAGGCATGGTGATGCATGACTGTAATTGCAGCACTCAGGAACACATGGCAGGAGGATCTTGAGTTTGAGGCCAGCTTGTGCTACACACCAAGATCCTGTCACAAAACAAAGAAAGAAGTAAGAGCTGGGGATGGTGATGCATGTCTGTGGTCTCAGCACTCAGGAGGCTGAGGTAGTACTTGAGCCACAAGATCAGCATGGGCAACTATAGAAAGGACAAATGGAAGATCAGTGTGTACTTTTCAGTATTGCTTATGGGAAAATATCTCTAGATAGATATATAAGGATAAAACTTTGAAGGAGAGAAGGAGATGTCACTCTGTAACTTAAATTTTTTGGGGGGAGTAGGGCAGGTGGTACTGGGGTTTGAACTCAGGGCTTTGCCACCCTAGACAGTTGCTCTACCACTGGAGTCATGCCTCCAGCCCTAACTTTTGAAGTTTTAAATGTGAATTGCTGCATCTTAAGAGAGACATAATTTTCAAATAAAAACTAGTGTTCCAAACTCAGCAGAGTGGTCATGTGTCTGTAGTCTCAGCTACTTGGGAGGCTGAGATGGGTAGAGCATTTTATCTCACAAATTCAAGATCAGCCCAGGCAATACAGTAAGCCCCAGCTACAAACAAACAAAACTTCACTAGACCTCCAACAGAAATACAAACTTCTTTAAGGAAGTATTATGTATCTTTTATCTGACTGATAAACTTTTCTACAATTCCATTGAGTCTTTCAGGCTCCATCAGCTTATTCACCAGTTCCTGCTCAATGGCCATTAGAGCCAGGCCACTTAGCTTCTCTTGTCCCATGGTATGAAATAAATATGTTTTAAGACGAGGCAGTGTAGAAAGTAAGTTTTCAGCACTTGCTGAAGTAATTGGCCAAGATAAAGCAATATATAAAAGCTTGGAGATGCAAGGAATATTATTGTAAAGACCATGCTGAATAAATAAATAGCCAAGACTAACAAAATTGATGGAATCATAATCTATGTCAAAGTTGAGCTTTGCATATTGCCGATAAAATCTAAGTTCAGCGATAATGTCTGCATCAAGCTTATAAAATTCTTGAACGTGTTTGGCTGTTGCTTCATTTAATGGTTCATTCCATTTAAATAGTAATTCTGAAATTTGCTTCATCTTGCAATAATCAAAATCTGAAAAACACAACTTTAAATTTTGTAATACAGTATCCAATCCTTGGTAATAAATATTAATTTTATATTGTTCTTCTGTTGAAGTAGGAAAAAACATATTATCAGAATTACCAAGATCTACTGTTTTCTGAATTTTTCTTCTTTTTTTAAGAGAAGGTTTTTCTACTTCAAAACCATTACTGGTTATTTTTTTACATATTTCCTCTGTCCCATCCCAGATAGTTTTGAAATATTCATCATTTCTTTCAGAGGATAAACATTCCAAAATTGCTTCTACTTTTGAAGACAAAGAAAAAATGTCTATGGTTTCACTTTGAAGTTCTCTGGAAAGAATTCCTGTAACACTGAGCACTCGATAAAGAAATTTCAAGCAAAAGATAAATTCAAATTTGGAAACCAACCTCAACACATCACTCATTTCATCAGCCAAACGTATGTTTGAGGAATGGCTTGATTCAAATTCCAGTGTTTCAATAATCTCTGGAAGACCATCGATCACAGATAGTAATGTGCAATCATGGACTATCCAACATGACTGTGATGCATGCTTTTTGCATGTTTTATTCTGACTTACCTTACAAATGTTTTGAAAATTTGCCAACATTTCTCCAGACATATGAATAATGTTGAACAAAGAAGTGAGAGTATTTAGAGCACCACAGAGTTCTTTTACTTCTTTACAAAACCTAATTACTGCTAACTCAAAAAAATGTGCATAACAATGTGTGTATAAAGCTCTTGGCTCTTCCTTCTTGAATTCTGCGGCAATTTTATTAAACTTTATCCTCAAATTGGTGGTGCTATCATAGGCCTGGCCAGATATTTTATTAAAATCAACTCCAATTTGCTGCAGATAAATTTTGATGCTCTTGTGTAAGAGGGACCCAGTCATGTCTTCAATATCAACAAAACCTAGGAATCTTTCTTTAATTAAGACAGCCTTTGATGTTTTCTGTGGGTACCTTACACAAACTGAAAGCTGTCCTTTACTGGCATTATCAGTTGTCTCATCACATATTATTGAAAAAGCTGAGGAGACATTGATCTCATTCACAATATCCTGCAACATTTCAGTCTTTATTATTTCAACAATATCACTTTGAATTTGTGTACTATTATAGAAGTCAAGTTGTGAATTCATAAGTCGAAACACTTGTTCTCCTTTGTCTTTTGCTCTAATCTCTAGCAATTCTAAAAAATTGCCTTTATTCACAGATGAAATAGACTGGTCATTTCTTCTGAAGAGTAAACACTGCTTTCCAAGAAATAAAATATTTTCAATTATAAGTTTTAAGTACTTTTTATTTCCCTCAATTTGCTTTGAATGAGTAGATAAATTATCATCGATAACTTCATCACAAAACTGGTATTTCTTCCAAAACTGCAATGACTTCAAATGCATTTCACTTTTCTCATGCTTTCTGAATTTTGCTAGAGTTTTTTTTCCAATTAGAATTTCCTTGGGTTGCAAATGACTCTCCCCTATAGTTGAAGTTCTTTTGGTAGAATAACTGGCATGAATAACAGAATGTCACATCTTTTTTAACACTGTTTTCCAAATGCTGAAAATTTGAACGCCAAGATTTTTTAATATTTGATTTATCTTTCACTTTTTGTACTTTGGATGTCAGTTTTTGGTGGCACAGTCCATCGCTTCCTTTCACAGATTTCATACTGCATGTAGGATCCTGCCTAGACACTTGATCCTTTTGTCCTTCTGTACCAGAATCAACTGTATGCTGACTGAGTACTGATGGGGATGGTGCGGGGCTTGGCTGCTCCATACTATTATCAACACACAGGGTCCTCACTTGCTTCGTGCATCTCCAGCTGCTCCCCTTACGGTGATTTAGGTGTCTCTTAGCCATATTGAGTCTGTATAAACCCTGGACTGGAGGTCTAGGGCTCACCTAGAACATATGAGTTCACCACAGGCCTACAGATCAGGACTTAGCACTCGCTTTGTAGCCATGCTATGTGTCATTCACACACGTTCACATGCAGGCATCCAGTGTTTCTGCTCTGCACACAGCACTGAGGAGTCACAGTTTCGCTTCTGCTCAAGTTACTTAAGTGACCCCAGGAGTTGATCAAGCTCCCCTTCTGCCACTTAGGGGCAGGCTTAATATTTGAAACCAGTTCTTACCAGTCTGAGGAGCAGTGCTCCCCATGCTGGTTCCTGTGCCTCACCAGGTTCTGTCGTGTGTCCAAGGCCCTAACCCAGACTCACCGGGAGGATAAGTTCCTCCTGCAGATGAAACCATCCATTGGCACCTGGTGGAATCACTTCTCCCAGCAGTCCACGGGACACACTCCAGCAACAAAGGAGGTGAAAAACCACCATCTCTGAAATCCCAGACAATCCCAAGATTCTTGAACAGAGCACAGGACACCGAGTAGATCTGCAGGAAGCAATGTTTTATTGTGCCAGCACAGATTCAGCAGACTTAAGTCAAAGAGCTAAGCCCCGAGAACAAAAGGGTCTTACCTTATATACCCTCAACAGCAAAAAACAAGGGACAACCCATGTATGGTTGCATGCAACTCTATTGGCTACTTTACCCCCAGTGTTATGTGACCTTCACATTTAAATTCATTAAGTTTCATCTCCCTGCTCTCCCATCCCTTTCCTCCTACTATATTTTCAGGACACTACTCGCTTGCTTCTTTTCTGTCCTTCCTCCCAGCTTCAGTCGCAGTTACTCAGGAGGCTGGTGGACCACAGTTTGAGACTGGCCCAAACAAGTTAACATGAGGCCCTATCTGAAAACCAAACTAAAAGCAAAAAGACTGGGGGTGGGACATGGCTCAAGCGACAGAGTGCTTGCCTGGCAATGCCTGGTACTGTGATTACAATCCATAGTATCAGAGAGAGAGAGAGAGAGAATATGGTTCAATGAAGCAGCAGTTATGGGAGCAGAGCTGGCATGGGTACTTGAATGAACCACGTTAGACTGCACAACTCTAGGCACCTCCTGCACTGACTTCTCTGTTTCACTTGGGTTTTCGTGGTGACTGTCAGCTCTTAAAGCTGTACCAGCCAACAATAAGAGAACTTGACTTAGAAAGATGTGGTGTCAGAATTAGTTACTGCTTCTTTCTTCCTTCATTCCAAGAAAATTGATGAGGGATCTGGAATATAAAACAAGTGAGTATCTGGTGGGAATGGTGAACAAATGTTTGCCCCAAACCAAGTAACTCTCCCACTCAACACTGCAGTTTCCTGTGAAGCTCTTTTACTTCTGGATGATCTCTAGTAGGAAAGTCTTTGTGGTGGCTAACCTATCAAGAATTTTTATCCTGATTTTTGGATTTCAAAGCCATCAACTTTCTGGCGAGATTTCCTGAGCCATAATGATATCAGTCCCTCGCCTTTACTTCTCACAGGTCCATTTTTTGTTTTAGGTTGCTTTTTTCTTTGGTTTTGTTTTTTGTTTTGCTCTACTAGGGCCTCCAGCGTGCTAGGCAAGCATTCTATCACTAGAGCCATGACTCTAGACTTTTATTGGTTTATTTTTATTTTTGTTTTTGTTTGTTTTTTTGAGCCACAGCACCAACAAATTATTTTGGTTTTGACATACTCTTTTGATAACTTTGCCAGGACTGGGTTGGAATATACAGGTGTGTGCTACCATATCAGGCTCTTCTACTTTCTTTCTTTCTTTCTTTCTTTCTTTCTTTCTTTCTTTCTTTCTTTCTTTCTTTCTTTCTTCCTTCCTTCCTTCCTTCCCTTCTTTTTTTCTTTCTCTTCTTCCTTTCTTCCTTTTTCTCCCTTTCTTCCTTCCTTTTTCCCTTCTTTCTTTTTGTGACAGGGTCTCATTATGTACCCCAGGCTTGCCTTGAACTTGCCATCCTCCTGCCTCAGCTTCCCAAATTTGGAATTGCAGGTATGTATCACCATACCCTTGTAGCTCTTATCATACCTCTGGTGCCATCAGTTTTTCCCCACATTCTATTTTCTAGACATGGAGCTAATGGTAGTGTGGGCACAAGGTATAAGGAATTCTCTATCCTGGTTCCCATAGGAAGGCCATTGTCACAAGGGCACCAGAGTATAGGAGAAAAATCTCTGTTGCTATCTGTTATGATATCATACATTTATCCCTACAGTGAGGATCATTTGGCTACCTCTCAATGTCTCCAAATGGGAAGAACATGATATTCACTGTATTATGGATGAACAAATACCAAGGCAGTCAGCCATGCCTGAGCCTGCTGTGCTGGGCAGTAAGGGCTTCACCTAGGGGAAAGTGTACGGGGAAGTGAAAGTAGATAGGATGTGGTGAGGAGGAGTGGAGGAAGAAGCAGCAAAATACAGAGGTGGGGCCAGAGGTATGTTTGGCAGCAGATATCTTGGTGGGTTTCTCAGTATCACTGACAGGTATAGTTCTCCTGTATAGAGAAATGAGAGTACAGAGCTGAAGGAAAAATGGTCTCAGAACATGGAGTCAATGGTGAGAAGAGGCTCTCTCACCTTCACACCTGAGGAGGGATTCTGGACTCTGCAGCTGTCTTTAACAGAGGTCTGTGTCTACACCAGTATGGATCCCTTCCTGGTCCTGTCCTATGGTCCTAGGCAGATTGGCATTGCCCTGGATTATGATGGAAGGAAGGTAACTTTACCAATGCCAGAACTCAAGAGATTATCTATGAATTCTCAACTTCCTTCACTGGGAGAATTTTTCTTTTCCTGTGGCTTAATTATATGAGATCCAGGCTTACACTGACACCCTGAGAGGAAGCTCATGGGCGCAGTGCTTGGTTTTTCATTTGTCCCACATTCCTCCTCTATGCTATTCCCAACTTTGTTTTCCCTCTTATTTTTTATTTTCTTTTTCCATCTTTTTCATAGTGTAGACTGGGAGGTGACTGAATAGAATAATACTTCTATCCAGTCATCTCAGAAATAAATAACAAAAGGTAAATGTTTTTTTTTCTTATTCTTTTGTTTGTTTTTATTGTTTGTTGTTTGTTGGTTGGTTGGTCGTGCTGGAGATTAATACAAGAGCCTTTCACAAGCCAGGTACATTTTTTCACCACTGAGATATGCCCCAGCTCCTTTCTTATTCTTAGTCTAGCAGAGAAAGTTAAATTAATAAAAATGTATTTGATGGTTATAATCTGTACATAAGTAAAATGAATGACAATAATATGGAACAGGAAGGAGGAATTATAAACACCTTGTCATTACAAGGTACTTGAACTGCTTATGGAGTAGTGTAATGTTATTTGGAAGCCAAGCTGGAGTTGTTGTAAATGGATATTGCAAATCCTAACATAATCGCAGTAAAATTTTTCCAAAGATAGGAGAATAATTACAATAATTTTAAATGCTCAATTAAAGCTGAAAAAAGTTGAAAAACCAATGGAAGATAAAAACGGAAACAAAGGGACAGTGAATAGTAAACAGTAACAAATATGTTAGACATTAATCAGTAATCACTTTAAATGTCAAAGGTCTAAATTCATCAATTAAAAATTGTCAAAGTGATCAAAGCACATGATCCAACTACCCGTTATTTATAAGAAACCCTCTTTACAGAGATGCACTTAGATTAATAGTAAATGGCAAAAGAGAGATATACCGTACTAAAACTAACCAAAAAAAAGCTGCACACCAGGCATGGCTCAGGTCTGTAATCACAGGAGAATTGCAAGCTCCAGAAAGGTCAGACTACATAGAGAGTTTAAGGCCAGTCTGGCCTAAAGAATGAGACCCTATTGCAAACAACAAACAATAACAAAAAGAAAGCTGGAGAAGTATTGTTAATTTTAGATAAGACAATAATGAAGGAAATTACCAGGTAAAAAAGGGCAGTACTTAAGGATGAGGTGTTAATTCTCCAAGAAGACATAGTAACTACTTTATGTTTTGGCAGTAGTGGGGTTTGAACTCAGGACCTCAAGCTTGCTACACAGATGCTCTACCACTCCCACGCTTATGCCTGGACCACACTTCCTGAGTGGCTTACAAGACAAGCGTGTGCCACTGCACACAGTTTTTCTTGGTTGAGTTGTGTTCAAGTGAACTTTTCCCTGGGCTGGCTTCAAACCCCTACCCTTCTGATCTCCACCTCGTGAGTGGGTACAATTACAGACATGCATCACCTGCCCAGAAAGACATAATGATTCTTATTTTGTATAACAACAGAGTATCAAAATACATGAAGAAAATACTTTTAGAATTACCAGTAGAAGTAGATGAATCCATTATTAAAGTTGAAAACCAACTGAAATAGATTCAACAGGCAAAAAATGAGCAAGGACATAGTGAACACAATAGCACTATGAAGTCAAGTTCTTGTAATTGACGCGTTTACAGACTACTTTATGCAGCAACAGTAGAGTAACATTCTCCTCAAGTTCTCATGAATATTCACCTAGGTAGACCACCTAACAGGACATCAAAGTTACCTTTACAGATTTATAAAAGTAGAAATCATTCTGAGGCAGGATAGATAGATGGATGACACAGAGAAATTAAAAATAATATTAATAGGACCAGACTCAGAAAGTGGAATCAGGGAGTGACCTGAAC